GGCCGGAGTCCGGGGGGAGGGGCGGGCAGGGTCCTGGGGACCAGGGCGAGGAGAGCGAGAAGAGGAGGGATGGGCCAGGGTAGGAGAGGGGAGGGATGGGAGGGTGTCTCGGGGGACGGCGGAGGCCAGGAGAACGCGGAGGGGAGGGACGGGCCGAGATCTGGGGGCAGGAGCGGGCGGGGATCCCGAAGGTTGGAGGGTAAAAGAGGGTGACGGGGACCCCCGGTTTCGTCAATAGGGAGTGGGGGATGTGGGCGCGGCAGTGGGGGTGGGGTGGAGGCGGGATCCCAAGGGCGGATAGAGGGTCTGGGAGAGGGCTGGGTCCCGCAGTAACGAGGGCGGGTTCCAAGGGTGGGGATGGGATGTGGGGCGGGGCGGGCCAGCGCCTGGGCAGAGGGGCGGGCGGGGGTGGGGCAGCTCCGAGCGAGAGGAGCGCGGCGGCGGCGCCTGTCGGCCGCTGGGTCCCCGCCAGGCCGGCCGGCCCCGGGGTCTCTTCTCCGCCCACAACTGTCGAGCGTCCAGCTCGCCGCGCCCAAACTCGCCCAGCTTTCCCCTTTCCCGCGCGACCGTCCAAGTGCGCACCCGCTGGGCCGAGACCGGCTCCATTCTGGGCGGAGGAGTCGGGCTGGGGTTCTGCCAGGGGTCCCGGGTCGCCCCATTCCTCCCCCAGAGTTGCATCATCTGCCTGTGGACGCCGCGGAGCTGAGCCGGCGCCCCCCGCGCCCCGGACCCTCCCCCTCCAGCTCATCCAGATGGTGCTGAAGCCGGAGGTTCAGCGCGCACGTGGCCCCGGCCCCCACTCCAACCCCCGCGGCTGCGGAGCGGTCCGGGAGCGCTGCGAGCGGGAGCGTCCAGCTGGGACCCGGGGAGGGAATTCTTTGGGAGATGCGCCAATCTTTGAATTTTCGCTGCATTTTGGATGGGAAATGGCCGCTTCACAAATTGCTCTTTTCCGCCTGTTGAATGGGGTGAGGGTAAACATTGACGGAGTTGGGCGAGCGGCACGCGAGGTGGGTGGCCGTGGGGAAAGAGGGCGCAGGGCACGCGGGGCCCTGTCCCGGGCACGTTCGCAGGGGGTGAAGGGAAGGTGCCCTGCGATCCCCCACATCTCCGAACCCTGGGCTAGTCTCAGCTGAGCTGGGGAGCTGGAGGGGGCTGTGGGGGAGGGGCGGGAGCGCAAAAGTTTCAGCCTCCCCAGGATCAGCTGGGGGTGACCCAAAGTGCCCCTCCCGAAGCCGGGTGACCCCAGCGGTGTCCAGATCGACTGCAGGGTCTCGATCTGCCGCCGAAAACCTCCCGCCTTGTAAGAGGAGTGCTACCGTCCGCACCTCCGGCCCTAACCTAACCCTCTCGGCGGGCGGGTGCGCGCGTGCAGGGGGCAGCGTGCCCTTGGCGGCGTCGTGACCCCAGTAGGGTCTTGCGGTTGAAGGCGCGGCCGGAGCCAGCCGGGCGGCGCCAGGTGAGGCCACCTTCCCGGGACGCACGTGCGTCCGCCCGCCAGGCGCTGTGGCCCGGGAGAGCCGAGCCGGGCCGGGCGGGCCGGAGCTCGCGGGTTTGGACCCGGATCGCCGTGCGAGCGTCCCACCGATGGCCTTTGGGTTCTTGCGAGACTGAGTCGGCTGCGACCTGTGTTCCCAGCTGCCCCTTACCTTGCCGGAGGTTGAGCCCGGCGAGGCAAGTAGCCAAAAAGAAGGCGCGCGGGTGCAGCGTCTACTGGGCTTGGCTACGCGGGATTCTGGCCGCGGGAGTGGAGGACGGGGGGCGTGGGCTGCGGGCCTCGGATGGGGAGGGAGGCGTTGGACGAGGGGGCTTTGCGGGATGGGAGAAGCCCCTCCCTGCGGGCCACCCGGGCTCACCACGGAGAGAAGTCGCTGTTCCGCTTAGGGTGGGGCTCTTTAAAAGGGCGGAGGAGAAGGACGCGGGACATCCTTGCATGGTTTCAGGGGGACCCGAACCTCTGAAAAAGAAGAGGGTGATCCCGAGACCAGAAAGAATCCCCGGTCTAGGACGTGTGGGGCAGAAAGACTGGGAAGCTGGATTCCCCCGGAAAGCCTGGTGAATTTGGAAGGGGTGCAAATGGCAAAGGGTAGGGAGGTCACTGCCTCCCTCGTGGTCAGGCTCTGGCCTGGGCATCTGTGGTCATCTGCGGGGCGCAGGTCTGCATCTGGTCACCCGCGCTGGAAGAAAGGGAACCAGCTGGGGCCACCTCCCTCCTTGCTGATGGCCAGCAGACCCGGGGTGGGCGGGGGGCTGCAGAAAGTAAGCCGGCCCCCCAGCAGATTTACACCTGCATGTGAGCAGCACGTGTGCCTTCAGTTCAGTTCCGCCTGGGCCGCTCGACCTTTTCACAGCAAAAGTGCCTCTGAAGTGTCCTGGGGAGCAGAGGAGGTACAAGGCTGGGGCTGGGGTCCCTCCTGCTTCCAGGGTCGGCATGGGCGCTGCCCTTGGAGAACACCCTGAGCCACGTCCCCCAGCAGGAGCTCCTCCAAGCCCACAGGGCTCTAGAGTCTTTATTTTTTGTCTTTTAGAGAGTTTTGAGAGCAGTCTTAGATTTACAGAAAAATTGAGAAGGTAGCCCAGAGGATTCCCACATCCTTGCCCCTCACACACAGTTGCCCCGAGTTTTAACGTCTTGTATGAATGTGCCACCTCTGCTACAATTACTGCTCGCTACTGTTAACTGAAGTCCATCCTTGCTCAGATTTCCTCAGTTGCCTTTATCCTCTTTCCACTCCAGGATTCCGTCCAGGGGGCCTCATTACATTCGGTTGTCACGTCTCCTTCCCGAGTCTGAACTGGGGTGAATTGCAGTCCTTGGTCCGAGAGTGGTGGCTGTGTTTAGCGGTGGCCTGGCCTTCCTTCCAGGGTGGGGTCGGAGGAGGCAGCACAGGGTCTTTCCGAAGAGCGGCCGGTGCTGGCTGGACGCAGCGGCAGGGCTGCAGCCTCACCGTTGAGTATGGGCCCGCCTTTTCTTTCCTTCTTTGGATTTCTTTCCTGTCTCATCTATTTTAAGGTTCCACATGATTTTTTAAAATTGTGATAAAATAGGCGTAACGCACAATTTATCATGCTAACCATATGTAAGTAGGGTTAAGTACACTCACAGTGTGCAGCCATCAGCATTATCTGTAGCCAAAACTTTCCATCATCTCTAACAAAGACTGTACCCCTTCGACAGAGACCCCCCCCCCCCCCCACCAGCTGCTGATGATCTTGATTCTCCTTCTGTCTATGAATCCAGGACCTCATGTAGGTGGAATCATACAGTATGTGTCCTTCTGGGTCTGGCTTATTTCACTAAGCAGAACGTTTTCAAGGCCCATGCATGTCGTAGCGTATATCAAAACTTCATTCCTTTTATTTTTTAAGGTGGAAATATATTTATTATTATCTCCATTTTTCTCTTATTATTTCTATCATATAAATAGTCTTTTTAAAACAAGTTTATTGAGATATCTTTGACATATAAAATGGTATGATTTAAGGTGCCCACCTTGGTTTTTGTATACATGGTGAAAAGATCACTACAGTCAAGTCAGATAACATATCCATCTCCCCTGCGTAGTCATCTTTGTGTGTGTGTGTGTGTACGCACAAACCTGTACACGCACATGCATATTAAGAAGATTTTCAACTTCATTGCTGTTTTATGGCTGAATAATGTTCCAATGTGTCGATATACCACATTTTCTTCATCCATTCATCCCCGGATGGACACTTGGCTTGCTTCCACATTTTGGCTGTTGTGAATAATGCTGCTGTGAACATGGTGTGCAAACACCTGTTTCCATTTGTTTAGATATATGCCTGGGAGGGGAATTGCTGAGTCCCGTGGTAGTTCTGTGTTTAGCCTTTTGAGAAACCCCTGAACTCTTGTCCACCGCAGCTGGTGCCTTCGTTTTATGCCTGTTCTTGCTGAGCTCTTTGAAGGAGTGGAGCCCCCGACTCAGAGGGGGTGGCTGAGCAGAATTCCCTGGATGCAACCACATCAGAGCAGGTGCCTCGGCACTGTTGGAGGTGAGCTAAACCAGCGTCTCCTCCCCTCCCTTTGACAGATCCCAGCATGCCTTCCGAGACAACCCAAGCCAAAGAAGGGTGTGCAGAGTGCCCCCACCTCTCAAAGGCACGCCTGGAGGAGGAACCCACAGAGGACAAGGAAGCCAAGGCGTGCTCATGGATCCTCCCGGATACCCCCAGCAAGTGCTCCTGGCAGCTGGGCAGCCCGAGCGCCGACTCTCCACATCACCATGCTCCCTCGTAAGTCCCTGTTTATGATCCCGACACAGTCCATCCCTAACCTGGAGGGGAAGAGTTTGTTATATGGAGGCCACACGGCCCGGTGGACCTGGGGTGTGCCCCACTCCTTGTAATCACTCTGGGTGGGTGGTGCGCTGGCGCGAGGCACTTTACAGATGAGTCACCCAAGGCCCAGAAAGGCCAGGGCTTGTGTGCCTGTGGCCAGCACCTAGGTCAGCGCCTAAAAAGAGCAGATGCTGAATCAGTAGACGGATGTGCCCAGGTCACACACTTTGAGTGACGGATAGGAGTGAGGTTTCCAATCCAGAGCATCTGGCTGCACGCTTGCGTTTGAGGTGTGTGCGCGTGTTTTCGGTAATTAGCATCATGCCTGCACTTCTCTACGTAACTCTAGGCCGTAACCATTCTCCTGGGCATGAAATACTTTTCTATGGTGGGCTCTTTTCGTGGTTGCACAGAGACTGTTGGGTGAATAAACTAACTCTTAAGGCATCTGTTGGGCATTTAGATGTTTGCAGTTCTCTCCTTGTGAACTGCAGTAGGAAACGCCACGTCCGTTTTGTCGGTGCATCAACGACTTGATTGATCACCTGCCATCGTTGGGCCATGTTCCAGGTGCAGGAGATCGATCGTGGGGAGGCAAAAAAGACACAAATGCCTGATCATCGTGAAACTCAAACCACGCTCGCCAAGTCTTAGGATGATCTTGATTTCCTTAGAATAATCTCCCAGAAGTAGGACGAAGGAGTCAAAGAACATGCCTTTTGGATGTCTGACTCTTACTCCGTATACACTGCTCTGCCGCGTTTACGATCATTGATTTTAACATCCAGTCTGGGAGCGGGGAGGGGGGTGCGCTCCTCAGTGGGCCCGTAATAGGAATGAAGGTCTGCACATCCAGACGCTCCGAACATTAAATGCCTCCGGGTGCCGGCAGCTCAGGAGGCCCAGTCGGCTGCCAGGCGGGCGGGGTGAGCCGTCACTCCGAAACAAATGGGAGCAGTGGGCGGAAAGCCTGTGGGAGGCTGAGGTGTGGCTGCTGGAGTTGGGGCGGGGGAGAAGAGACCCAGATCCCCCAGGGCTCCCGTGAGCTTCTAACCCTCGGGCCTGGGCTGGAAAGACACTATCCTATCCAGGTCATAAATCGTGTTGCATCTACCCTTCACAGAGTGGTGGAATTAGCCCTCTAGAAAGCTCTGCAGGGGTTGCTGTTCCATCTAGGAAGCGCGTGTCCCGGTTCAGGCATACGGTTCTCAGGGAGCTGGGCTCAGGCTCATCTGTGAGGAGGACACTAGACCAAGGTCCCCTGCAGGAGCTGGTCGTAGGGAGCCTGATGGTGGGAGCAGTGACGGGCCTGGCAGCCTGGGGACGGCCTCAGAACTGGTACCTGGAGAGGCGGAAGGCTGCAGCTGTGTGGATATTGGGGGGAGGGGATTCCAGCGAGTTCCGAGGGAGGGTGGGTTTAGAAAGAGGACCAGAGTGGAAGTAGCAGAGAGGAGGGGCTGTGGAGGGGGAGGGCCAGGCAGGGCCCCGTCCCTGGTCAGGAGTTTGGGTTTGTTCTAAGATGCTGTGGGGTCGGCCTCCCGAGGCCTCCTGGGCTGTGAAAGTAATCACAGTGGAGGTAAGCTGACTCCGGGCCCCTCCCTGGTAAGTTCCTTCCCGGGGCTGCTGCCCTGAGCACCTCGGGCCAGCTTCTCAGGTGGCCGCCCCACAAGGCCCAGTGCTGAGTGAGGACCCCAGAATTCTCCATGGCCTGCCCTGCAGGTGGGGGAAGGGGGATGACAGCCACCTGCCAGCCCTGGGTTCCTCCCTGACAGGTGTCCTGCTGTGGCTTAATCTAGCTGATGAGTCAACCCTGGTGTTGCTTCGAGGGCCCGGCCTCCCTCCAGGGCTGGGGTCAGGAGCCCTTCGCCCCAGGCCCAGGCTCTCCCTCCCCCCACCATCCCATCCCCCACCTCTCTTTGCTGAGCCTGCCTCCAGCATGCCTTGCAGTGTCCGTTTAACTCCTCGCCACCTTGGAAGGATGCAGTGGATTCCAGCTCTGGGTGTAGCCACCTGTCTGGGCTGAGGGGTGGAATGCAGTGTTCCCTAGCTGCCCCAGGTCCCAGGGGAGCTGGATCACCACCTTAGGGGTTGCACAAGGAGGCTGCCGAGTTAAGGGGTTAATGGGTTCCTGTGCCGGAGAATGGGGCTCCCTTGAGTTTGAGAACCGCGGAAAGGTAACTGAGAAATCAGGGGGCTGAGAAGCTATGGCCTGTCCTGAAACGCAGGTCAGTTGTGCATCTTCCCGGATGAATGTTTGTTGAGCACCTCCTTGGCACAGACAGGGAGAGAGTGTGGAATTGGCAGCGGTCCCTGAGGGCGACGACAGAGGAAACTTCATGGGGGCCATTCAGGAAACACCTCTATCACAGTTGCACACACATAACAAGATGCTGCCCAGTTGCAGCTGTCCCACCCCTGCCTGTCACCTGCCCCCAGCTTGTCGGGTGGAAGAAGCTGGGGGGAGGGGACTGGTCACTGGAATGTGAGGGAGACGGCCCGTGAGGAGGAAGCCCACTGTGACCCTGGAGGCCCCCCCGGGCTTCGTCCTGACCCTGACCCCAAGGGCGACAGTGTCTCCGGGCAGGGTCTTTGTTCACACCGTCTGTGTCCCACCCTTTCCGAGTGAGGCCAGGCATCTGGGTGGCTCTCTGCAGCCCCCGTCACTGCCTGGTGACCACACAGTCTGAGGCTCTGCCCTGGGGTTGCCACCAGTTTTTCCCTCAAAGCAAAGGGACATCCCAGGGCTTAGGTGCTGCGAGCTGAGAGGAATTGGAGGTCCCAGATGGACGGACCGGGGCCTGTTGTCCTGAAGTCAGTGTTCATTTAGTTTACCTTTTTTTATTTGGAAATAATTTAACACTCACCAGAAGTTGCAGAAATAATAAGTCCTGTGCCCCGTTCACCCAGCTGCCCCTGATAGCGTCCTAAGTGACCGCAGTGCATTTTCAAACCCGGGGAACAGCGTCGGTGTGGCTGCATCACCTGAGCTGCAGACGCTGCTCGTTTCCATAGGTTTCCAGGCGAGCTCCCGTGCTCACGCGCACGTGTGTGTGCGAATGTGACTGTGACCTTCCATCCATGTGTAGGTTTGTGTCCTCACCACTCAGCTCCCACATTAAAGCTGACTCTTTGGTTTATTTCTTGATTTATTTGGAACAATGTGCTGGACAGCCAAGGCTGGTCCTGTTTTGATTTGTTTTCTGAGTAATCATGGATTCCTCTGTTTTAGGCTGAAAGCCTCTGAAATCTTGCCAGATATCCTGCATAAAATTGGGGATACCCCCTTGGTGAGAATCAATAAGATCGGGAAGAAGTTTGGCCTGAAGTGTGAGCTCCGTGAGTACCCAGATCCTCTGTCCTACCCTTGGCCCAGCAGTGACTTGGTGGCCCTGGGTGGCGGGGGCCCCTCAGACCCTCCTGGGGGCAGAGAGGCCAGGAAACAAGCTGGTTAATGAAGGACCGAGACACATCAGGTACGATCCGAAAATGATCTGACAGGATAACACAGCTGGCCGCTCTGGGACCAGGTGACCCGTGAGCCGAGCCCTGGATGAAGGAGAGAGCGTTCCAGACCTGGGAGGCAGAGCAGACTGGCCCTACTCAGCTGTGGCAGGAGGGGGACCCCAGACCCGAGGAGCTGCTCTTCCACCTTAGACTTCTCTGGGGAGGATAGACCAGCTCCTGCCGGGCTGTGGGACCACGGGACGGCTTCCGAGATGAGGGGTCTCAGGCATCCGCTGGGCAGAAGTGGTTATCTCTGTTCCGCTCATTTTGTGGGCACAGAGAGGTCATCTGTCATTTATGAGACAAAGAGTGGGAATTTGGGGGCGTGTCTGGCCTTGTCCTAGGTAAACAAGGGGGTCACCTGGGAATCTTACCTCAGTCATATGGGGAAGGGGCTTCTTTGCAGGAAGCTGTTTCCAGGAACACAGAGGGTGGGGGGTTTCTTCACCGACACGGGGCCCCAGTAGACTTCAACTTTGTCACAGAGGAAGCGGCAGGTGCAGAGGCCGAGGAGGGGCACCCGGCACAGTAGGCCAGGCAGAGTGAGCTGGAGAGGACAGACAACGAGAGCGTGGGGTGGGCATGAGCAGGCCCTCAGGGTCAGCTTGTTGGGAGTGGCACCACCGGGGGAGGGCTACGGCCATGATGGCTGGTTCCCCTGGGGCATCATCCTCAGATGATCCCCCCAACCCTCTGGAGAGAGACTCTTCTGAGAAGCAATGGGCAGTCCACACCCCCCAGCACAGCTGGACATGCGGACTGCATGAACGGCCCCTGGAGACCTCCCAGCCCAGGGGCGCCTGCTCTGTGCTATTTATCAGATAGTAGAGACCATTAACTAGTGCCCAGTGGGGTTGGCCTGCTGCATCAGCTTGGCAGTAGCCCCTGAAGTAGGTGTCAGTGTTTCCATTTTACAGATGGACAAACCAAGGCTCAGACAGGTCAGCGCAGATCCCGGCTGCATGCTGGCCTTCCCATGGGAGAGCCAGAATTGTCTGACTAAGTCTTTCCAGTGTGGGAGCTGGAAAGGTCCTGGGCGTGGGTCCTGCTGAGCGGTCAGGCATTGGGGAGCCCACACACATGTGCACACATGCACACTGTCCCCGCCGGGCCCTCTCCTGCTTCTGGGAGAGAAAGTCTGTCCAGTGGTGGGATTTCAAAACCGGGACGAACCAGGAGGAGGGTGGTTTTGCGGTTGCTGTTGGCCAGCACCGGGTCCTCCCAGTCTCGTGGGATGCAGTGTCTCCCCCTTTACAAACACGGCATCTTTCTAAGGGATGGGAGGGCATCCTCCCACAAGGAAAGACAGAAGCAAAGGCCTGGGCCCAGGAGAGGATGTCTCGTTGGCCAGGTCGGGGAGAGCAGAGAGCCCCGTGTCACTGGGCCTTTGTCCCAGGGGAGGAGGACGATGGGAGGAGGCCTGCAGGGTGTGCAGGTCCCGGTCAGGAGCTGTGATCCAGGGGCCGTGGCTGCAGGACATCAAGTCGTTGGCAGGGCCGTTGGGTATGGCTGGGCCGTCTGCCCCGCATTCAGGGGCTCAACTCAGTGGCCCTTTCACGCCAACAAGTCACTGTTGGGACTGGGCTGCCCCTCGGGAGGGGGGTTCTGATCCATCCACCCAGCGGGGGCTCCTTGGGATGCTTCTGTGTCATCCACTCGGAGTTGCCACGAGGTCCAAGGCAGGTGGGATGGGCGGGTGGGAGAGGCTCCGAGGGGCGAGCACCCTCGTGCAGGTGCAGGTGGGAGGTGGCAATGGAGAGGGGACGATTTACAGAACCAGAAAGACCCGGCCTGTCTCTGCCTCCCGGGGGGCGTCAGGTCCTGGGGAGGGAGAGCAGGACCAGTCTGGGCTCACGGCCTCTTCCTCCTCGTGATTCCTCTCTGGCTCCCAGTGGCCAAGTGCGAGTTCTTCAATGCGAGCGGGAGTGTGAAGGACCGCATTGCCGTGAGGATGATCGAGGACGCCGAGCGGGCTGGGATTCTGAAGCCTGGGGACACGATCATCGAGCCGACATCCGGGAACACAGGTGGGTGCTGAACAAGCCAGGAGGTCCTCTGGCCTGGGGTGACCTGCTGCCGCGTGCGCTGGCCTCCTTCCTGGCAGCTTCCTCAGCCCCTGGTGTGCAGGAGCCCGCCTCCCTGCCGTCTTGCCACCCAGGCCTGCGTCGATGATGTTGGGGTCTTCACGAGCAGCTACGCTGGGACTGAAAGTGTGTCTTCGTGTCCCAGAGCGGAGGTGGCAACTGCCACAGCCTGGGGGCTCAGCCAACCAGAGAGACTGGTTCTCTCACGGTTCTGGGGCCTGGAGTCCGCCGTCCAGGTGTCTCCTGAGGCCTCTCCTTGTAGACGCCGTCTTCTCCCTGCGTCCTCACCTGGTCGTCCCTCTGTGTGTGTGTCTCCTGGTCTCTTCTTACGAGGACACCAGACATATGGGATTAGGGCCCCCCGTATGATCTCATGTAACCTTGATCGCCTCTTCAAAGACTGTCTCCAGATGCAGTGACACTGGGGTGCTGGGGTTAGGACTCCAGCGTATGAATTTGGGGGACACAGTTCTGTCCGTAACACACTGCCGTCTAGCCCCCTGAGTTCCTGTCCTTCTCTCATGCGAAATACACTCACTCCCATCTCAACAGCCCCGAAAGGTCCTACCCCATTCCGGCATCTACTCTAAGTCCACAATCTCATCTAAATCTCATCTCCATCAGAGGGGTGAGACTGGAGGCGCCATTCATCCTGAGCGGAATTCCCCTCTAGGTGGAAACCCATGAGACAGGACATGTTATGTGCTTCCAACATACGGTGGCGGGACAGGCATGATGGACGTTCCCATTTCAGAAGTGAAGGAGCGACAGGTCCCAAGCGAGCCTGGAACCCAGCGGGCGGATTCCATTAGGTCTCCAGGCTTGACAGCCATCCTCTTGGGCCCGACGCTCTGTCTCTGGACGGTGGCCCTGTGACCCCTCTGGAACCCGGGAGGAGGCACCTCAGGCCTGTGCCCTCTGGGCCGTGGTGGGAGTGGCAGGCTTGCTGACCTTTAATCCCCTCAGGTTCATTCGGTTTCTCGAAGGATCCGGGGTTTTCACAGTGAGCTCCACCGTGTTGGCTCTTATTGCTCTCGTGTGGGTTTCATCATCTCCTGCAGTGCTCAGGACCCGGCCTGGACCCAGCCACAGCTGGAGGAATTGGAGTCCACCTGCGTTCTCCCCTCTGCTCCTCCTCTCTGAGCTCACTCACCTCTTTGTTTCTACCTCCAGCATTCTCTCTCCTCCCCTCACTGGGGGGCAGAAGGGGATGACGTGGGCATTTCTGGGATCCTGCAGTGCTGTTTCCCAGGCCTTAGGGGCTGGGGGTGAGGCTGCAGGTACACGGGGCAGGGTCCAGGGCACCGTGGTCCCTCTCACCCCGTGTGCTGTCCCCAGGGATCGGGCTGGCCCTGGCTGCCGCCGTGAAGGGTTACCGCTGCATCATCGTGATGCCGGAGAAGATGAGCATGGAGAAGGTAGGCGGGCTGGGCGGGGCCGTCTCCCAGGGACCCCTGCCCCTGAGCAGCAGCCTGGCAGGCGGGTAAAGGCAGCGGCTTCCTCTGCAGGTGGACGTCCTGCGGGCCCTGGGGGCCGAGATTGTGCGGACACCCACCAATGCCAGATTCGACTCCCCTGAGTCACACTTTGGGGTGGCGTGGAGGCTGAAGAACGAGATCCCCAATTCTCACATCCTGGACCAGGTGAGGCTTGGGGCCTGCGGGACATTGTGGGCGTTCCCGGCGGGATCTCTGTCGGGGTTTGGGGGTGGTGCCGCCTCTGCAGGAGGCTCGCTGCAGAGCTGACTGCTGCTCAGGCACATGGGCGCTGGCTTCTCCCGGCCGGGTCAGGTTCTCTGGCATGCAGCTGGCGGGATGGGCCGAGCCCGTGGCTCTCTCTGTCCGTACCAGCCTCTGCGGGCTCAGTTCAGTGCGCTGGCTGGGCCTGCCCTTTGCAGAGGCCCTGAAGCTCTCTACAGGCATAAGATGCATAGAAACCTTTCTGCCGGAAGCTCTTCTGTCTCACCCATTTCACTTCTGGGCTAATTCTGGAATCGCATCTTCTGGAGAGCTGGGTTTAATGCTCTGCACCTGCTGAGGGTCCTGAAACTGCCTGTGCCGTTGGCCCCTCTCCCTGAGCTGCTGGGCCCCCTGCGGCCTGCACTGAGCTGTTTGCCTGCTGTCCTGGGGCTGCTGCCGGGTCAGTGTATTTCACCTCCCTCATGACCTCTTTGCCTTCTTTCCGCACAGTACCGCAACGCCAACAACCCCCTTGCTCACTACGACACCACTGCTGAGGAGATCCTGCAGCAGTGTGACGGTGTGTATTTCTGTCTTAACCCCTCTGTCCATCTTGACTGCATCAATCCCTGATTGCCTAGGAGAGCACAAGTCACTTACCCTCTCCTTGGTAAACTCCTATTCATCCTTCAAAACACAGCTCCAACGTCCCCTCTCTGGGAAATGCTCTGTAGAACGTTTCCCTAGAGCAGTTTCCTCCCTCTGTTGTGCTCTCTTGGACTTTGCCTGGCCTCTCCTGTAACACCAAACATACCATTCGGTCGTATTGATTTACCCAGCAGACTGTCCTGCAGACCCGTGGGACCTCCGAGTGCAGGGTGCGAGGTGGTCCAGGCTGGTGCTGGGCTCGCAGCCAGGGCTTCAGTTGCTGAACGGCCCTCGGCGTCAAGCCCCAACCTGGGCGCTGAATTCAGCCTTTGGGTTTACTGGTCTCTGGAACCGGGGTGGTGACGTCAGCGACTGGCTGACTCTCTGTGTGGACTTGCATCTCCTGGGAGCCTTTCCTCATCTCCGGTGCCCCGGCCCTCGGGGTTGTGATGTTCTTGGACAGGCTGTTTCCCTGGGAGATTTTAGGCAGAAGTTGCCGGGGTTGGCAACTGTTTGGAGCCTGGTGCTGGCGTTGGCCCTGAAGTGCAGGCTCGTTCCTCGCCCAGGAGCCAGGCAGCAAAGTCCAGGCATCCGCTGCCCCAGTCTTCATGTGTGAGAATTCCTCCCTTTGGCACGAACAACCTCTGCCCTGCACAGGCGCCGGGCCGACTTGTCTGCAGGAGGCCAAGCCGGCGCCCTGCAATCGGAGAGCCAGATGGTTTCAGAGCCGAGCCTGAGTGCCTGAGTCTGTTTACCTTGATAATTCAGTGCACTGAATCCCATCATCCAAAACCGAACAGCCTAAGACGGTGCACAGCGAAGAGCCTGGCTCGTCCCTCAGCCGCCTGTGCCCTGTCCCCGGTGCCACCACGCCTCTGGACAGGCTTTGTGGATCCACAGCAAACCACGATTTCAGCAGCTGCATGTCGTTAAGCAAAGACTCAGTGCAAGTCACTGGGTCCCTGTCACTGTGAACGCTTTTTAAAGATAAAGGACTGTGATGAGAGGCTGTTGACCTCTGAGAATAGTTTTTATTTTGAACTTTTTGGTAACTGCCTTCACTTTGATCAAGTATGTTTTCAGTTATTATTAAGAGCGGTGGGCCAGCCCGAGAATGTTCTCCCTGATGGGCTCTCCTCCCAACAGGGAAGGTGGACATGCTGGTGGCCTCAGCGGGCACGGGCGGCACCATTACGGGCATTGGCAGGAAGCTAAAGGAGAAGTGCCCTGGATGTAGAGTGAGTGAGCGGGGTGGTGGGGCCCGGGGGAGGCACGCGGCCCTGCCCAGGAGAGGCAGGCTGGACGGCCTGCACTGCCCGCTTGAGGCTTGAACTGTGGCTGGGGCTCAGTCATCGAGTCCTTGGCATTGGCCCCCGCAAGAGGCCTCTGCGTTAGAGCTGAAAGTGCTCGTTCCTGACGTTTCTGCCTAGGCAGCCTCGAGTCCTGTACGGGGTGTGTATCTGCACCTGCCTGGGAGATAAAGGGCCCAGTGAACCCCCGACCCTGATTGGGAGAGTGGATTTGAGTGGCCTCCAAGGATCATTCCAGAAGCTCTAAGCTCTTAGGCTCAGGTCCTGCGGCTGCCCACCTGGGGCTTTGAGAGTCGGGGAAGGGCCTGGATTTGGGGCTGAGTGTGGACCTGGGAGGGCTTGTGTCATACCCAGCTCATGTGCTGGGCCCATCTTCTCCCTCTGACGGTTCCTGTGCCGTCCAGGAAGAGCTCTGTGTTAGCACCGCCTCTCGTCCCTACGACTCCGGGTGTCCCCCAGGGTGGTCTCTCGGGGCTGTCCTGGGGTGCCCTGCACAGGAGGAGCTCCCCTGGGGAGCCGCTTCCTCCCAGCATCCCCTGAGTGCCCCGAGCTGGACATTTACCTTGTGATCTCCCAGGGCCTGGGCCTGGGTTTCTGGGTTTCAAGTCTTGCCCCTGAAGCCCGGGAATGAAGCCCGCATCCCTCGGGCAGATCATTAACTGGCACCTGTTAGCGGCAGGCTTGGCCGCCCTGATGGTCACCAGGCGCGTCCAGGTGCGACTTTTGCCAGACTTGATCCCTCCTCCCACCCACCCTGCAGATCGTCGGGGTGGATCCCGTAGGCTCCATCCTGGCAGAGCCTGAGGAGCTGAACCAGACGGAGCAGACGGCCTACGAGGTGGAGGGCATCGGCTATGACTTCGTCCCCACGGTGCTGGACCGGAAGGTGGGTGGCCGGAGCGCTCCCTCTGCAGGGCGGGTGCGGTGACCAGCCGGCCCTCAGGGCACGCCTGACCACAGGCAGCCGGCCCAGCTTTCCTCCCGAGTGGGAACAGAGAAGTGAGCGCTGTGGCAGCAGGGAGAGGAAGCGTAGTCTGCAAGGTCCAGACTAGGCAGCAGGCAGTGCTGTACCCAGTAGGTGCGGTGACGCTGCTCGGCAAAGAGGCCAAGACAGCTGGCGTCAAGGGTGCAGCCCTGTGCACAAGGCAGGCTCTTGCAGAGGGAGAGAGCGCCGGGCAGTGGGGCAGGTGAGCAGGAGGGTGGGGGAGGTAAGAACCCAGGACAGGCTCTTTTTAATGACCCTAAAGGGTGCTTCAGTCTGAGGGACCTAGAGCGGACCCTGCAGGGACACCAGGCCGTGCAGTGCAGAGGGGCGGGCGCGGTGGTTGTAGTCGCTGTGTTGCAACAGGGAGAGGTAGAGTTCTGGGTTTGTGTACGTGAGTCCCGGATTCCAGAAGAGGGGCTGCGTCCACTGAAGGTCACGGCCGCCTGGACCAAGGTCGTCTGTGAGGTTGCAAACATGGGCTGTGGGGCCCCCACCCCCACCGCACAGCTGCTGGAGCCACTCCCGAGCCTGTCCCCTGGGTCCTGCCTGCAGGTGGTGGACAAATGGTTCAAGATCACTGACCAGGAGACATTCACCTTTGCCCGCATGCTGATCTCGCAGGAGGGACTGCTGTGCGGTGAGTGGCAGGCGGGTGGGTTGTAGGGTGGCAGCGGGGTGCAGAGGACAGATGGGGTGCTGTCTGTCCACCCCAGCTGTTCATAAGGCCAGCCTTCCTGTCCTCCAGCTCAAGGCGGGGTCACCTGCACAGGCAAGGGCAGGAGGCTGTGGGGCAGGGGCATCGAGCGCCCCTCCAGAGCATGGATGGAGAAGGGTCCATATTCCTGGGGTCCCTGGGGTCCACGTGCTCTGTTTTTGATGTGTAACACCTTTTCTGGGGAGGGGGCCATGGCACCCAGACCCAAGAGGGAAGGAGCAGGAGATGCGAGGGGGCTGGGGTCTGTGACCTGCTGGCCTGAGAGACGAAGTAGGCTTCTGGGGCCTTGGCCCCCCTGCAGAGCGGGCCATGGGGCTGACAGTGAGTGGCATTAGCTCCGCCCCCTCAGGACTGTCCTGGCAACATGGGCCTCTGTGCGGTGGGTTTTGGGGTGAGGCCAACGCTCTTGGGACACTTGTTGTTTTCAGTCAAGACCAGCACTGACCTTGGGTTGGGGGCTCCCCATCTGCAGGGGTCTGACGCTGGGCGGGGGTGGGAGAGGCTGGAGGGTGTGGTCACTCGGGCGTCTGAGCCGGAAGGAGACGGGCAATGTGCCCACGCACTCTCCCTCCTCTGGGAGCCCCGAGGCCAGTCCGGGCCCCACAAGGAAGAGGCTCGACCTCGATCCAGGGGACTTGCGTGCGAGAGGATGCACAGCGAATCCGCTTTAAATCTCCGCGGGAATATAGCAGGAGGTCATTTGAGACGTGCCTTCGCTCCGTGTTGTGTCACCTTGGGGGTGGGGACAGAGGAGATGGAAGGAAATCAGCCCTCAGCGTGGCCGGGTCCCTGGACAGCCGAGCCCCAGTTTAGAGATCGGAAACCAGCCCCTGTGATTGGAAAAACCTTTCCAAAAGGATGTTGTCGTGAAAAGGCAACTTTGTTCTTCGTAGTCGTTGCCCGTGTGGTGCTCCTGGTGTGTCCCCGCTTCCCGTCGTCAGTGCACATGGAGCCTGAGCGTGGATGCTGGCAGCAGGCCCGCCTCCACCATTTAGGAGGAAGGGCCCCTTTTCCTGCGGGGCGCACTCTTGGCGGCTCCATCGCGCCTCCTTAGCGCGGCCCAGAGGGGCTGCAGGCGCACGGCAGAGCACAGTCACCTCTCGGGGTCCGTCCCTCTGCCTCTGACCCGGGCTCCTGGGCCGGGAACGGCTGGTCTGCAAAGTGGGGAAGGGCGTCGTCTGCCTGGCGGGCGGCTGTGGGCGGTCAGTGACATGAGGCCCGTGCTGGGCTCCCTGGTGCTTGGGTGGGTCTCGTGGCGTTTTCCTGGGGGCACCAGCCCCACCCTACTGAGCGGCGTCCCATTGGCTCCAGGGGCTCTGTTTCCTTGGGGAGGGTTTAGTCATGAAATCCTGAGCAGACATGAAACTCAGGGGGACGAGAGGCCCATAGCTGGATGGGGAGGAGCTGGGTCCTCCCAGCACGGAGCCCGGCGCCTCCTCCAGAGGCAGCCATGGCGGCTGGTTCCCCGCGGATCCCTCCAGCACGTGTCCGGGTGTGCAGGCGTGCGTGCAGATGCGTGTGCACACATGCACACTGCAGTCTGACTCACGACCCCCTCGGCAGGTGGCAGTTCGGGCTGTGCCATGGCCGGGGCCGTGAAGGCCGCCCAGGAGCTGCAGGAGGGCCAGCGCTGCGTGGTGATCCTGCCCGACTCGGTTCGCAACTACATGTGAGCCTCCCTCCTGCGCCGTCCTCGGAGCTGTCGCTGCTCCCTCTGTGCTCCCTGAGATCTGACAGCAGGAAGGAGGGCGGGGTGGGGGTCCGCGGGTCTGGGAACTCTGCTTCGCCCTCCGGGCCCCTCCAGGCTGGGGCGCTCATTTCCTCGTCCAACCTTGTCCCCTTGGGTCTAAGAGCCGCGTTTCGAAGGCAGCGCACGTTCGCGGTGGCAGCGGGCACGTGCCTGGTGGAGCCCCGTGTGCAGGCGGCTCTGCTTCCATCGCAGCCCCGAGCCCCGCTGCTCTGAGAGCCGCAGCCGAGGGAGGGGGAGGGGGCGCCGCCCTAAGCACTCCTCCCTGCCGCCCCCACTCGTTCCGGGGTTTCCCCTGCGTCGGGGAGGGGGGAGGGCTGGGGGGGGGCTCCGGCGACCCCTCAGAACCTGCTGTGACATGTGTGTGCCCGGCCTCTGAGGCCCTTCGCGGCTGCCGGTGCTGAGCGCTGTGCGCTTCCGGTCCAGCCTCACAGGAGCGCAGGTTGCACTCCCCACATGGCAGCTCACAGTCTCCTGCCGTGAATTCCTGTCCCCTGGGCCAAGGGCCCTGCCCGGGGTCACTGGCTGAAACTGGGCTGTGCTAGCTCTGCAGCAGGCCTCTGGGCAGTAGGGGCCAGGACCTAAAGGGCTCCTCCCGCCCGCACCCCCTGGGCTGCCTCCCCGACCCCAGGGGCAGGGCTGCGTGTCTCCAGGGAGCTCGGTGGCCACTGGTGGGGTCCAAGTTGGGTTCCCAATGGTGGAGGCATTCACATCTGCGTGCCCACTGCCACACTGCCCTGAGCTAGGTGACTGCCTACTGTGCTCAGTGCGTGAGAACGCCCATTTCCCCTTTTGCTCAGCCGGCCTGCTGTGCATGCACACGTGTATGTGTGTGTGTGTGAGAGAGTGAGTGAGTAACAAAGCATGGAGGTATGTGTATGAGTGTGGTTTGTATGTGAGATGGAATGAGTGTATGTGAGAGATGGAGTGTGTGAGAGATGCAGAGTGTGAGAGACGGAGTGAGGGTGTGAGAGTTGGAGTGTATGTGTCAGAGATGGAGTGTGTGTGTGAGATGGAGTGTGTGAGAGATGGAGTGTGCATGAGAGATGGAGTGTGTGAGAGATGCAGAGTGTGAGAGACGGAGTGAGGGTGTGAGAGTTGGAGTGTATGTGTCAGAGATGGAGTGTGTGTGTGAGATGGAGTGTGTGAGAGATGGAGTGTGCGTGAGAGATGGAGTGTGTGAGAGATGGAGTGTGTGAGAAGTGGAGTGTGTGTGAGAAATGGAGTGAGTGATGGAGTGTGTGTGAGAGATGGAGTGTGTGCATGAGAGATGGAGAGTGTGTGAGACATGGAGTGGGTGTGTGAGATGGCACGTGTGTTCGTGAATGACTGTGTGCCCACTCAGCATGTCTTGGTAGTGGGTTCTCTGCTCCCTACTCCCTTGGTCCTCGGTTTACCCTGTTAGGGTAGGGCCGTGGCAGTCCCCTGGCCTGCTCTGGTGTCCTTTGACCCCAGGTGGGACAGACTCCATCTTCCAGAGTGGACTCGAGTGGGGCTGGGGCAGAGGTCCAGGGAGCCCCAGGGGGCCCGATGGCAAAGGTCCCTGGACAGAACCTTCCATGCTCTGAGCCATCCAGCCGCAGGCCTGTGTGCCCTGGCTGACCAGGTGCCCCATCGACCCGCGGGTCCCAGCTGGGGTCTCTCTGGAGTCTGGCTCCCAGGCCTCTCCCTGGAGCCCCAGCCAGCCGCTTGGGGTCTCTGCTGGACCTGCGGGGTCCGGGGAGGAGTGCTGGGCTTCCCCTGAGAACCATGTGCCCTCAGCCTGGGCAGAGGCGGTGGTCAGACCCTCTGTCCGGGCCCTGGTGGCCCCGGCGCCTGCAGGTCCAAGTTCCTGAGCGACAAGTGGATGCTGCAGAAGGGCTTCCTGAATGAGGAGGACGTCCTGACGAAGAAGCCATGGTGAGCATGTCTCTGAGCAGAGGTTCCACCCTGGAAACACCTGTGGTGTTTGTGGACACGTGTCCCCGGGACCTGGGGCCCCTGTGCTGTGCCCCACACCTGGCGGGTCATCCCCGCGGTCCCCCTCTGTGACGCCGCCCGTATGTGCAAGCGTTTGTCCCTGACTCCCGCCCCCCAGTTCATGGCCCTCCCTGCCCTGCCCGCTTCCCTCAGGTGGTGGCACCTCAGAGTCCAGGAGCTGAGCCTGCCAATTCCGCTGACGGTGCTGCCCACGGTCACCTGTGAGCACACCATGGAGATCCTCCGCGAGAACGGCTTCGACCAGGCACCCGTGGTCGATGAATCAGGGTCAGTGTCGGGCACCACCATCCGAGCTCTGCCCACTGGGCTCTGCTTGGATCTGGGCTCCACGCTCCTCTGTGTCAGTGATGCTGGGCAGGGCAGCCATGTGGACCCCACAGCTGCCTGGCTGACCCTGGTCACTTTGCATCAAGATGTCCTTGCATGAGGCCGCCCATTGGATGTCTTGTCTCTGGGCACTGGCGGGGCGGGGGGCCTGCCGTAGTGACCCGTAGGGCTTATGCCCCTGTGCCGGCCTGCTGCACTCGCCGTGTGCATGCAGGATGCAGGCGGTAGATAGTGGCTTCACTCTGAGGCTGTCAACAGAGGAAGGCCTGCCCGGGAGACCACCATGTGGGTTCCCTGGGACTGTCCCTGTTCTAGCCCAGAAAGTCCCGTGTCCCAGGACACCGGTGGGCTGGTCACTCTTGACACCTGTCAGAAGGAAAATACCCAAAGGACTCAGTTTACTGTCTCCACACACTGGGGGCAGCTCCAGGGGCAGGCATTGGTCCCCGTGGTGCTCCCGCCGCATGGAGGCGCTCGGCAGATACTTGCTGAATTCTCAGAGGAGTTAGTTCCGAGTTTGGCCAAAGACCTGGATCGGACGCAGAGTGTGGCCGTGGGCGTGTTCTGCTGTTTGGGGAGAGGCCCCTGCACTGACCCCTGCCCCCTGCCCTCTGCCCCCCGGCCCCCTGCTGCAGGGTGATCCTGGGGATGGTGACTCGTGGGAACATGCTGTCGTCCCTGCTCGCTGGGAAGATTCAGCCATCGGACGAGGTCCGCAAAATCATCTACAAGCAGTTCCAACAGGTACGGGCTCCGTTCCGCTCGAGCCGTGGGCGCCCGAGACCCAGCTCTGTCCTCAAAGGCAGGGCGCAGCGCTTCCTGTGTGAGGGGGCCGGGTCCCCAGCCTGCAGCACCACGTGAGGTGTCAGCAGGCCAATGCTGGCTCCACTCCATCAAACCCATAAATCTGAGGACTCACCCCTACTTTGCAAATGGAGGCGCCCAGGTCGGGAGGGGCTCTCATGGGGGCGCAGAGCTCACCAGCATTCACCGTGTTTGTGCGATGTCTGGGGGTCATTAGCAAGCCCAGCCCGGGGCCCATCCTCTCAGCCATGTGGGGCATCAGCCAGCGTGATTGTTTCCATAACGTATGGCCCTAATTTTTCCAGGGCATGCGTTCATTTAAGAATACCTGGCGTGCCTAATTATTTAATAAGAACTAGAATGTTCTGTGGTGTCACCCCTTGCTGTGTCAGGGCTGGTCAGACCCTCTGGTCATCCTGAGACAATGGTGGCCACCCTCTGATGGGCCTGAGCAGAACCACCTGGACGCTGCTCTTGGTGTCCCTGAGGGTGGGGGAGTCAGGACATCCTCTCACCCAGTCCCAGTGGCACCTGACATTTCATAACCATATTCCCCTCCCACCTCCCAGTGAGCAGCATTGGCAGCTTGTTGGCTGTTTGGGGTGTTCTTGGTCTTATTTTGGCTTTGTGTGTGTGTGTGTGTGCGAGGAAGATTGTCACTGAGCTAACATCTGTTCCATCTTCCTCTCTTTTGTATGTGGGGTGCCACTACAGCATGGCTGATGAGCAGTGTGCAGGTCTGTGCCCGGGATCTGAACCTTTGAACCCTGGGCTGCTCAAGCAGTGTGTGAACTAAGCACTTGGCCACTGGGACAGGCCCTTGTTGGCTGTTTCATATTAGGAAGGCTAAGGAGTTGAGCCCAAATCTGGGAAGGAACTTGGTTTTCCTCATTCCCCGTCACACCCACAGCTGACATGTCACCAGAATCCATGTATTTCTCGCCATCTCCACCCCCACTGCCATAACCTCTCGCGTGGTCCCTGCAGACCCCTCACCCCTTCTCCTCCAGCTCCTGCAGCTGGAGAGACCACAGAAGACAGGGGTGGGTCCTGCTCTCCCGGCCCTGCCAGTCCCCTGGGAGAGGCCCTCGGCCTCTCCTGATTTGGACATGAATGTACACCCACGAAGCCATCACCACAGTCAAGAGTGAACGTCTCCGTGGCCCCAAAGGCTTCCTCGTGCCCCTTGAGCCTCCGCCCCTCCCTGACCCCGTCCCTGGGCACACTCATGTGCTTCCTGTTACGGTAGACGGTGTCTGCACACAGCCCTACGTGTGGACCCCTTGCCTGGCTTCTTGCACGCAGCACGGTGTTGAGACCCATCTACAGCGAGGCGTGCACACTGTTCCTTACTTTCCGTGGCAGAGTCCGGTTCCCTTGTGTCTCTGGCCTTCGTGTTGATTCTCCACTGTGTGTGCCCAGCCCCTCCCTCGGGGAAGGGCTGAGCCCGCGCTCCTGCATCCCGCATCCCGGGACCAGGCCTCCTCTGGCTCTGCTGCCCCTCTCTACTGGGATGGGTATCTGCTCTGGTGGGCACCACGATTTTCTGTTTTGTTTTCATGCTGGCAGAGCTGAGGGCCAAAGGGCAGAGCTGGCGGCCGCTGTGTAAGGTCTGCTGACCTTTCACCCAGCCCTGTAGTGCATGGCTTTGTATGGAGACATCACCCCCGTCGCCAGGGTTGAGATGGGAAGGGCGCCCAGTCAGGTTCCAGGGCTAACTGTGCTTGGAAGTCACCTTGGGGGTTGTGCAGCCACGTCTGATGGGCAGCCCTCACCGCCCCCAGGAGGGGGTCATCCAGCCCTTGACCCTCCCCAGGGAACTGAAGCAGGGAAGGCCACGGGGCGGAGGACTCTCCAGGTCCAGGGACAGGAAACAGGTGACCTGACACGGTTGTTAACACCAGGTGTGGCCTGGGGCTTCACTGCCCGTGCCCTCCGTCTGTAAATACCTGTCTAAGGACCTTGAGCTGTGGCCGGTGGTGAGAGCGGGTGGGGTCCCAGGCTGCCCAGGTCTGCCGGTGTCCATCCCCTTCACAGCGCTGGGTGGGGAGTGGAAAGCTCGTTCCATTTCCTCTGTCCCCGCCTACTGCTTTCTTTGCCCTTTGCATCACTCCAAACCAGAAAGATCTCTGGAAATGAATTATGGCCTCAGACGACTTCGACTTGCAGAGATGTCACCTTAAGCCTGATTGAAGGTTTAAGAGGAGGGGATGGTTTCTGTCCTCACCTACTGCCGCCTGTGCTCTGACATGTGAAATGCCGGGAGTGAGACGAACACCCTCCCGAGGGCAGGGAGGCTGGAACCGGGGCGGCCTCCTCAGACTTATTTCTCGAAGATGGAGACACAGACTGGGGGCGCGTCGGCCTCTCCCCAGTAGCAGACATCCTCCCTCCGGGCATCTGGTCACTGTGACTTCCACTTCCATGCAGTTGGGCCGAGAGAGGGGCCCTGGGGTCAATCCCCTCCCTGCTGCCCACATCCCCAGGGTCTTTCCTGAGTGTGAGCTGGGCCAGGCACTGCAGGCTGGGCGCTGGGATGTTGGGGGAGGAAGGGGTCTGGCAGCCTTTCCCAAGGGGATGGCCACACGTATCCCCACCAGACCCAGTGGAAGGATCAGGGCCTCTGGGTCAGTTGGTGGTGACTTGTAGGCTTGCATTCAGTTTCTGAATCAGCATGAGAACCTTCTGGAGCAATGCCCAACCTCTCCTGTTGCCTGGCTGGGCTGCCCTGGTGAGCGCTGACCACGGCTTCTCTTCCAGATTTTCCTGACTGACCCGCTAGGCAAGCTCTTGCACATCCTGGAGATAGACCACTTCGCCCTGGTGGTCCACGAGCAGATCCAGTGTAAGTGGGGCCGGGAGGTGGGAGCCCTGCGGGGCACTGGCCGCTGCGTCCCCATCCCCAGGCTTCTGAAGGCGCCTACCTGACATGAGCATTTGTGCGGCACTGAGGCCCCTGTGCCTCATAGGGCATCTAGGGAGTCGGTGGTGCTGACCTTCAGCCACCCAGCCTTGGGCGTGGGTCTCAGAGGGACCCCAGTGAGGCCACCGGTCTTCATAACTCTGCTCCCAAAGCTGCTTCCTGAGCCTCCTCAGCGCCCCTCTGCAGTCCCGGGGTGCCGTCCTGCTTCTGGGGAGGACGAGGCTCGTGGGAATCAGGAGAACTAGGAGCGTCCTGGAGCGGCCCGCGTCCAGCCCCTCCCTGGCCCTTGGCTCCACAGCGCGGGGCCAGGCCTGGTCACAAGGGGCGGGGGGACTGCGGCTATGTACGCCCCACCACCCGCCCCTTGTGCATGGCTGCAGTCAGAATGTAGCCCCCAAGAGTACAGGAGGGCGTCCAGGGTCCCGGGCCCCCCAGCCTGGGTAGGAGGGCTCTTCCTCTTTGTCTCTTATTTACTTATACTTGAACATCTCCAAGAAAAATGACAGGTTCTCGTCTCACAGTCCAGAAATCAAGTCTCCTGGGACACAGCCGTGCTTGATTTCGCTGTCCAGGCTGCTTGCCCACTGTGTTGGCAGAGCCGAGTGGTCCTAACAGAGACTGCACGGCCCTCTGCAGAAAGTCTGCCTACCCAGGCTCTGGACGGGTCTCCCGAGGGGTCGGCAGGGCCAGGTTCCGGGGCTGCTGCACACGGCCCTCCCCGCAGGGACGAGCAGCAGGGAAGCGGCCTGCACGGGCTTCTCCACAGCCGCCCCCTGCCCGAAAGTCCCTGAAGTGCGGGTGGCTGGTCTCTTCTGTGTCCCCTTGTTTTTCCCGAAATGCTCTGAGTAGGCCGGTGGGATGCCCAGCCTACCCCCATCCCCACCTGTGCGACCTCTGCCCCCAAAGGCATGAGGGACAGATGGCCCCGGAGGTGCTGGCAAAGGGGGTCGGACGGAATGGGATGCGACCCTGCATTTCCCACTCACTCTGGCCCTCTGGGTGCTTCCTGACAACTATGCGTCAGGGCTCTCCCGAGAAACAGAACTGATATGATGTGTGTATCCAGAGAAAGAAACCCATGGTAGGGACCTGGCTTCCAGGATTAGGCTGGCAAGTGCCACGGTCTGCAGGCTGAGTGGGCAGCTTGAGCCGAGGAAGTACCAGTGCTTCGGTTCGAGTCCAAAGCAGGAAAAGTTCCCTCTGCTCTTGGAGGGTCGGCCTTTTTGTTCCATTCGGGCCTTCACCTGATTGCATGCGGCCCCCCACACACTGGGGAGGGGCTGGCCGCTTTACTCAGTCTACCCGATCAATGTGGATCTCATGCAAAGACACCCAGAATACATCTGACCAAGTATCTGGGCCCTCCGTGGCCCAGTCAAGGTCGACACATAAAATTAACCATCCCCCGACCCTCTCTGCCCATGGGCTGCATGGGGTGGGGCCGGGGGGCCGGCATTCGTTTTGAGCCTGAGAACCAGGCGTGGGTGGAGTCAGAATCCTAGGCCAGAGATGGGAGCTGATGCAGGTCACGGATGTGGGCAGGGCTGGAGCTTCCTGCCTAGACTCGAGCCCTGGGCACCGAGGAAGAGCCGTACGCGGTTTGGAATCGATGAGGCCTCGGCGGGCGTCTGCTGGTGGGTGTGGCTCAGAGAGGCAGGAGGCTGCTCTGGGTGGCTCTGCCCAGACAGCTCGAGTCAGGAGAGGGCGGCATTCATCCTTGGCTGCCCTGGGTGCCACACTCGGGCAGGCTCAGGGCTGGGACTCGGGAGCCCTCCCTGCCTGGGCCGGGCCCCCAGGCAGCAGTCTGGGCTCAGCCTCTGGCAGTGGAGGTGGGTGGGGGGACTCCATCAGCTCCATACACGGGCGCCTCTAAACCTGCCCCTGTTCCCTCCTCAGACAACAACAACGGGAAGTCCAGTAAGAGGCAAGCAGTGTTCGGGGTGGTCACTGCCATTGACCTGCTGAAGTTTGTGGCTGCCCGGGAGCAGGACCAGAAGACCAAGTCAGGAAGTGTCCTGGATCCCTGAGCTGCGGGGGCAGTGGCCCAGCCCTGACACCCACCCACTGTCGGCTCGGGGTCCAGGCTCTCTTGCTTTTCGTCAACACTAAACAAACAGATGTGCGATTTCTCCCCACCTGGCGCTGGGCATCGCTCTAGCGTGACAGGTATCGAGTAGCCGGGGCCAGCTCAAATGTTAGTCTCCCTTTAGTAACATCTGGCTACCTGAATGAATGTATTTATGGTTTGTTAGATCAGATGTGCTTTTCTTTAACTTTCTCTTACAATGTTTCAACAAGGAAATCTCATTAAAAGAGAACTCAGCCAGGCAGACGAACCCCAGGCAGGGAATGGGCAGCGTGGATGAGACGGGGAGGGCCTTTGATGGAGAAGATCCAGGATGGGGAGCAGCCGAGGGGGCTGAGGAAGTGGGGATCGGTTCCCTGGCCCTTCTCACGGCAGGGCCGTCCGCTCGGGGCTGGGTGGTTAGAGTGGCTTGACGGGTTTTTTAATCGAGGTGAAATTCACATAACCTAAAATGAACAGTTTTAAAATGTCCAATTTGGTAGTGCTTATTAACGTCCCAATGTTGTGCGGCCATCACCTCTACCAAGTTCCAGGACATTTGATCACCCCATTAAGCAGTCTCTCCCCTCGTCTCCTGGCAACCACTAATCTACTTTCTGTCATTTACCTACTTTGGATATTTCATATAAATGGAATCATACAATTTGTGGCCTTTTGTGTCTGGCTTATTTCACTTAGCATAATTTTGAGATTCATTCACACCGTAGCATGAATCAGGACTTCATTCCTTTCCATGGCCGAATAATATTCCATGGTATGGATAGGCTGGGTTTTGTTTATCCATTCATCAGCTGATGGACATTTGGGCTGTTTCCACCTCTTGGCTCTTGTGAGTCAGGCTGCTGTGAACATTCATGTACAAGTTTTTGTTTGAATGCCTGTTTTCAATTCTTTTGGTTATATACCCAGGACTGGAATTGCTGGGTCATGATAACTCTGTTTAATCTTCTGAGGAACCACCAAACTGTCCCACAGCAGCCGCACCATCTTACATTCCCACCAGCAATGCGCGAAGGTTCCCATTTCTCTGTGTCCTTGCCAACACCTGCTATTTTCTGGATTTTGTTTGTTTATAGCCATGATGGCACAAAGTGGCATCTCATTGTGGTTTTGATCTGCATTTCCCTAATGACTAATGATGCTGAGCATCTTTTCACGTGCCTGTTGGTCATTTGTGTGTCTTTGGAGAAACGTCTGTTCAATCCTTTGCCCATTTTTAAACTGGTTTGTCTTTGTTGTTCAGTTGTAGGAGTTTTTCATATATTCCAGGTACCAGACTTTTCAGATAGGTGACTTAGAAATATTTTTTCCCATTCTATGGGGTGTCTATTCTCTTTCTTGATAATGATCTTAGGTGTACCACAGTGTTTTAATTTTGATGAAGTCCAATTTATCTATTTTTTTCTTTTTTATGCTTTTGGTATTATATATAAGAACCCACTGCCAAATCTGAGGCCATGAAAATCTACCCCTATGTTTTCTTCTGAGAGTTTTATAGTTTTAGCTCTTATATTTAGCTCCTTGATCCATTTTGAGTTAATTTTTACACGTGGTGTGAGGTAGGGTCCAACTTCTTTCTTTTGTATGTAAATATCCAATTGTTGAGAGACATTCTTTCCCCATTGACTGGTCTTGACACTCTTGTTGAAAATCAATCAGCCATAGATGTATGGGACTCTCAATTCTATTCCATCCACCTACATGTCTATCCTTATGCCCGCACCACACTGTTTTTATTACCGTAGCTTGGTAGTAAGTTTTGAAATCAGGAAGTGTGAGTCTTCCAGCTTTGCTCATTTTCACTACTGTTTTGGAAATCATGATGTATCTTGATGTATTTTTCTTCATGTTTCTTGTGCTTGGAATTCTTTGAGCTTCTTGGATTGCAATATTTGACTAGTAATAGTTCCAGAGAGGAAAGAGAAAACTTAGGGAAGGAAATCACCAGTGGAAATAATTCAACAAACTGTCTCAGACTGAAAGACATGACTTTGCAGATTGAGAGGGCCCCCCCAGGACCCAGCACAATGGATGGGGAAGGACCCACACAGGGAACATCATCGTGAAATGTCGAACTGCTTGGGACAAGAAGATCCAAACACAAAAGCTTCCAGAGCAGGGTGGGGAAACCCAGCTTGCACAGAACGTCTCGGGAAGCAGGGCATTGACTTCACCATCTCTAGCACGTGGAGGCTTGGAGGCAAGCAAACAGAGCCTGGAAGCATCTGAAAAGAGAGAAACAGGCCAGAATCCTTGATGCAAGCACTCTCCCCCTTAACAACGGAGGGGGAACATGCCCATTTCCACCAAGGCAAGTGGCCTGTCGGAAAGCACTGGAAGGTGCACTCCACCAAAACAAGGGAGTAAAATGAGGGAACGGGCTCCACCAGGTGGGATCACCAAGGGCACCCCCAGAATGATGGGGAAGGCAGCTTCCAGGACCACAGGGCTGGGTAGCCATAGACTGCGATAGGATGGAGGCTCCAGGAGCAACGCATCGAGGTGGGCAAGGAGACAAAGTTTAGCAGAGGTCTGTGAACCTATGGAGAGTTTGGGGTTGTGATAGGACCTAGAAAACACCACAAACAAAAAAGAGACGATTTGAAGGCTATGTAAGGAATGTAATTACAGTACGTAACACAACTAAGCTGGGAATAATAGTTGCTTCATTATAATTGTGTAAACACTGAATACTGATTACTCCAAAATGATCATGAACTCTACTGGAGCATCAGGGAAGAGGAGTATGTTTGTACTAGTGGGAAGGGCATATGGGGAGACGAACCTTCATCCTCCACAGAAGGACACTGCCAGAAATATCTGTACTTGGGAAACAAGTAGCATAAGCAAGTTCTTTGAAATCTGGGTGCAAATACCATGAGATGCAGCTGGGAGAACTGAGACTGGGCGTCCCCGGAGCGGGCGGTGGGGCAGGGCCTGCTCTCGCTCATCAGAAGCCATTTGGAAGGACTGGACCTCTATCTGTGTATGACTTTGATGAAGAATGATCTTTTTACACAAAGCTGGTAAAACCTAGTTTCTGGAGAAAGGGGAAAATGTCTTGGGGAATTTTTGAAACTCAGTAGTCTCTATACTAGGCTTTTGTGAGCCAACAAGCAGACGGATGAAAGAGAATCCTGTCTGGTGGCCCACATCGTCACCCCGCAATTGCAAGAACCCTGGAAGGGTCCACAATGTACTTTGCAGCGACAGTACTGATGTTCAACAATTTTTAACATGACAGTTTCATAGCCTGGCCCCTGGGTACCATCGAGTGTACAGTACGACAACGATGGCCAGTGTGGGCTCAGAGCCACCCACTCCCCATCCAGCGCAGCCTGGCCGTGACCTGGGGTCTGCACTGTGAGGCCGGTGGGAAAGAACCTCCTGGTGGCCCCCCAACCCTTGTAGTAGAACACGCTGAGAACAGCAGCCTGAGGGGCCCGTCCTTATTTCTACAGCCAATCACAGCCCCTCCGAAGGCCAAGAAGCCCTGTGGGCAGGCCTACGATGGTCTGGAGGCTCACCCTCGGGGCAGTCATGTCATACTCCTTCAGGAGCTTTCTGGCTGGGCAGAGTTGGGCCGTGGGGCTCAGAAGCTGCCTCTGACATGTCCCTGGCCATCTCCCTCCATGTCCTTTAGAGGCTGCTGTTGACACGGCTTCCTCCTCTCCGCCTCCTTCCAGCATTCACGGCATCCCTGGTACAGCTGCTTGTGCCTTCTGGGAATGGCGGGCTCCTTGGTCATCAGCTCCTTAGAAGAGTGAGGCTCCTACCAGCGTCCTATGCCCGGGCAGGTGGGGGCCTTGCCCTGCTGGGTGGTGACACGGAGCCCCTCACAGCCCCATCTCCCGGGTCCCTTGTGAAAGAGCGGGCTTCACCCCAGAGATAACACTCCAAGCAGAGGCCTTCCAAACCAGGGTCCGAGGAGGGATCAGGACCGTGCAAAGCCAACGTAAGATGTGCTGTGTCCTCCTGGGGGATGACCGATTTGGTGATTTGACTGAGGATGGCAAAATTTTTTTTTAATATTTTTTTTAAAGAACTGTGGTAGGTAGAATACTGGCCCCCAAAGATATCACATCCTAGCCCCTGGAGCTGTGAATCTTCCCTCATTTGGAAAAAGTCTTTGCAGCTGTGACTAAGTTAAGGCTGACGAGGTGGGGAGGTTACCTGGATTATCAGATGGGCCTAATGCCCTCAGGTGCGTAGGAAAAGGGCCTTTATCAGGGAGGTGCCTAGGAAAAGGGCCTTTATCAGGGAGGTGCCGAGAGGGAGACCTGAGACACACGCAGCAAGAGGAGGAGGAGTGGGACCAGGGAGGCAGGGACCGGAGCGATGCAGCCACAAGCCAAGGGTGCCTGGAGCCACCAGAAGCTGGGAGAGGCAGGATCGATCTCCCCCCGAGACTTCAGAGGGAGCACGGCCCTGCCGACACCTTGAGTTCGGACTTGTGGCCTCCAGAGCTCGGAGGGAGGACATTTCTGTGGCTTAGGCCACCCAGTTTGTGGTCCGCCGTTTCCGCAGCCCCAGGAAACGAGCACAAGTGCACATACAGGGAATTGTCAGTGTTACACGCTTGTGTTGCCTCCCTCGCTCAGCGTAACACACTGCTGATTTGAAGGGCTGGTTCAGACGCACGGAAAGGTGTAGAGAACGATGACCACCGTATTTAAGAAATAAAACCTTACAAAGGCAGCTGGCGCCCCGTGTGTGACTTGCATCCTGAAAAGCTGCTCGCCGGGATCTGGTGCCAACGCTCCCGCGCCTGTATTATTCTCGCCGCCCGTGACGTGCCCCTAAGCGATATGTGGCATTCTTGAACTAGTGCTGGTCTGTGTCATATACAACTGTCTTTTCCTGCTTTGAGACTTTCCATGTGCGTAGACAGCTCGCCAGCCCACTCGTCTCTGCTGCTGGGTCCTGTCCCATTAAGCGACCTCACCCCAGCTCTTCGCCCAGCCTCCCATGACCGACAGTTAGGTAGTTTCCAGAGTTTTGCTGACAAACGATGCTGCCATGCATCTTTTTAAACACAGTGGCTGATGCCTACAGATGATTACTATGAGCCAGCCAGCGCCCTAAGCATTTCAGGTATATTTGCTCAGTTTGAATTTCACGAGCGCCCCATGAGGGAGGTCCTGTCATGACACAAACCTCTGGACTTCTATGAGAAAGAAACTCAGTTCCCTGTCATGCCACCGTTCTTTCGGGGCTCTGTTGCTTACGGCTGAGCCCAGCATAACGGGAACGTAACAGGAACGGCTTAGACACAGGAGGGGAGGAGTCACTGGAAGCGGGACTCCAGCTTTCCACGAGGCGGCCACGTGGCTCGCACTCATGTCACTCCGCTAGCGCAGCTGCAACAAAGTGCCCCAATGTGGGGCTTAAACAACAGGAATGTGTGCTCTGCTGTGTGGAGGAAAGAGTCCAAGATCAAAGTGTGGGCTGGGCTGGTTCCTTCCAAGGGCTGTGAGGGAGCATCTGTTGCATCCTCTCCCCCAGCTTCTGGCAGCTGCTGGCAATCTTGGGGTTCCTTGGCTTGTAGACACATCCCCCCCATCTCTGCCTCCACCTTCACATGGCCTTCTCCCTCTGCATGTGTCTCTGTATCCAAATCACCCCTCTTTATAAGGCCCCCAC